TTATGCATGTGTGCAGCCTGTAATATTTAGATTGATTTTGGCTTAGTATGTAGTTCCTCGCAGATTGCTAACCAGCTATCTCAACACTATTAAATAATTCTAACTTCCCCCTGTTTTGAGAAGTTGATGTTTTGACAAACACATGTCTCCTATTTGCCATGTAAATGCTTTATTCTATTTTAATAAGTTTTGGAGTTGAGACAGTTTGAGGACTTATAAGTAAATTTTTCTGATAATTGTTTTCTATGCAAAAAACAATAGCTTTTGGAGATTCTTCTCTGTTGCAGTGGTAATTAGCATTTGTGAGAAGCTTATCTATCTTCTTTTAGGAAGCTCAGATTCTGCGTGTGTGTTATGGGAAATGGTCTTTGTGTTAATTGAATGCATTGGTTGGTAGAGAGTTCAGTTCTGCCTTCCTCTGATGTGACTCAATTTAGCAAATAGAGTGAGATGTCAGGGACCATAGTCACTTTGGAGTCATTTTGGCTGAATTTTGGGTCAGATCTGGGTTCCAGTTTCAGCACCACTGGCTTCACTGCCTTCTTGGGGTTCTGTGTAAATGTGGGTGACACCTCAGGTTGGCGGCTCGGGGGTACTTGTCAATACTTATTTCACTGAGGTTCTGAAGCCAGTGAGCCAGACCTCAAGAGCTCTGTGTTGGCTTTATTCCCCTGAGACGGGAGGCTGTCGGGCCGCGTTGGAGGATGTGGCTTAGGCTGGGGTCCAAGCAAGTCTTCCCGGTACCTCCTTCAGTCCACATCTGGGACGAGCCTATGTGGAGACCAGGAGCTTGTGGTGTCATTGAAGTTCAGCACCTGCTTCTCCACCCACGGACCCACACAGCAGAGAGCAGCGCAAGAGCAAGAGGCAGCCTTTCCTCCCTGCTCCCTTAGGTGAAGTGCGGCCGGCCGGGGCAGTAAGGGGGGTAGCTCTCCTGGCCTCCCTGGTCACTAGAGCCTTCTCTTCCCAAGGAAGGAAGAAACAAGTGGGTGAAGGAGACTAAAACGTCTCCCTTCGACAGCTTCCTCTTCTGTGGGTTGGAATGGGGAAATAAGTGTTGTTGGGACATCCCCACCCCTGGGCCTCACGGGCTTATTCTGGTCCAACAAAAATGGCATAATACCCGTGTGCGTGCTCTGGGTTGTGTGTGGCGGGTGTGTGAGGGTGCACGTCTGACTGTGGCACCCCGTGTCGTGGATGATTAGGTGTCTCTTTCTGGTTGTTCCCGGGTGTGAACGGGGCTGGTGTGATTCTGAGAGTGTAAGTTGCCAGAGAGTGAGAGCTTGGGGTTTGCATCACTTGTTGAGATTCTCTGGTGTGGGTTTGGACCTTGACATCTGTTGAAAGCAGAGTTGTTTCCAAGTTGGTCATGTGTCTGTGTGGGATGAGGCCCTGGCAGCCTGGTGAAGAGGGGGAGGCAGATGGTGAGAAAGCCAGGCACTCACGGGGAATCCACACTCGAGGGCAGTGGTCTCCTGCCGCCTGTGTGCCATCGAGTCCCTGTGGCCTTTCGTGTTCTCCACGCTTACCTGGCCAGCGCTGTCCAGTTGGAGGTCTCTGTGTCACCTCAGGGTAGTCATTCCCAGAGGCCCCAGGCAGGGGGCAAGGAGGAGGTCCTCAGTACTGTGGGAAGCATGCAGGCATGTGCTAATTAGCTGCTTTCTTTGTGGAGCCAAGATCAAGGAGAAAGGAGGGAGTCTGGCTTTATTTACTGCTTCAAAGCTTTGGGGAGAGTTCTGTACTCTCACATATATGGTTAAGATAAGTGATGTCCAAGGAGCACCCTCCAGGACTCCTGAACTTTGGGTACCGTGACTGAGCAGCCCTCCCCAAGCTCTGGGGCCCAGTTCCAGGAAGCGCATGGCCTTCCACCTTCTAGGCTTCTGTGGGAACCATGAGGAGGAGGGGGTGCATTTGACATTCTAAGGGGCAGGACTGTCTTGTCCATAAAGGGGAACAGGGTTTCTACCACTGGAACATTTTCATGTCTCATAGGGCAGTTCTAGCCAAGTTGGCTGTTCTCTGCAATAAACTTCATTTTTAGGTTGAAAAAATTTTTTCCCGTATATGCATGAATCCAGTCATCTGTAGTTAGACGAAAAAAACAGTGCTTTGGGGCTTTGTAATTTGTGGAAAACAAATGGGTGAGTGTTGGTTACCTGAGTTGGTTGCCTGCCAGGAGCCATCCCTCCCATACCCCCGGTCTCTGTGTGCACTGCTGCTAACAAGGCCCTTCTGCCTTTGCAGTATCCAGAGGCACCACAGCCCTCAGTGCCCAGGCTGACACTGGTCCGCTGGGCCTCTCAGAACCACCTGGGAAATTTGTCAAATATGTAGATTCTGGGCCCCAACCCAGACCTACTTATCAGAACCTCCAGGGGATAGGGCCCTGAAATCTGTATTTAGAATGAGTCATTCTGGTGCTGCCAGCTGGGCCCCTCCACATGGTGACATTAGGGATCGGTCACTAAGAGCCCCCTTTTAGTTGAGGGTGCTGAGGTCCTGAGGGGGCAGGGACTTGCCCAGGGTCAGGTCATGTTGCTGAAGGAAGGAACCTGGATCTCTTAAGCTCCTGTTCTTTCTCTGCAGCCACTCTGTGTGGCCCAGGCTGTGTTCAGGCCTCCTGTGTGTCCTTGTGTCTAGCAGTGTCCTTCGGCACCCAGGTTGTGTTCACACTCGTTCTTGGGAGTTTTGTGGAAGTGCTGTGCTGATGGTGGGCAGGGAGGTGGAGATGGGGGCTGCAGGAGCCAGAGTCACTGCAGCCCCTCCAGGGCTGGTTTTTGAGGCCAGAAAGGCTGGGCTCCCCCAGCAGGGCGTGGACCACTCTCCCGTCCCTCTTGGAGGGAGGAGGACAAGCTCAGGGTGGCGTCCAGGCTGTGCCTCTTGACTCTGCTCCGTGGGAAGGACGGTCGAGCCGTCACAGCACCCATTTCCAGAGGGATGTGGTTTTCATGTCCCTGCTTGGCATCACTTTCTCAGAACGTCACAGGCCAGCGGCCAGGCCACAGAGGCCGCCCCACAGGAATGGACTGTGCAGTGGCCACTCCACAGCAGAAGCTGGTTTCTTACTAGCAGTTGTGGGTGGGTTGTCTCCTTACTGTCTTGTTTGTGCCTTGGGCCCTATTAGGTTTTGCTCCTCTCCCTGGGAAGTGGGGGCTCCCTGTTGGGAGCTAGGAGTGAGCATTCCCCTGTGAGCATCAGATCTCGCCCATCTGTCAGCTTGGAGCATCTCCCTCCTCCCCACCATTCAGCCACTGCTTTGGTGGCAGAGATGGTGGAGGAGTTAGGGGTCCACCTGGATGGCCCTTGGGGTTAAAAAGGAAAGTAGTAAAGGTGGGCCAGCCCTCAGAATCCCCTTTGAGGGCACCCTCTGTTTTGTAGGATTCTCTGAGGGCTGTTGGGGGATGGAGACAGATAAGGCCCCACCCTTCTCTCTGTGCAGTTCATGGAGTGTTCTGTAGTCTGAACCTCACTGCAGCCCCAGGAGGCCCAGCAGTGGTCGTGGGGTGGGGGTGAGGTGAGGCGGTTAAGCAAGGGAGGAAGGAGTAGGGGATGCTAGCTGCTGTGGGCTGGGGCTCTCCTGCCCACACCAGGGCACCCCCTACTTTACCTCTCTGAGGGCTGAGCTTGGGAGGTTGTCTCAGAAAACGTTAGATGAACAAATGTGGAGCCTGCATTCTGGCTTCTCTTTACTGGCTGCGGTTAGGTCATGTCCACACCTGCCCTTTCATGTCGTCCTCCCTAACTTGGCTCTCAGTGGTCCGGCCCCCATTTCTGCATTTGGCTCTTTCCTGTCCTGGCTGCTGTGCCCCAGATGGTGCTGGGTAGAAAGAGCGGGGACTGTGGAATCCGCATCCTTGGTTCAGATCCTGGGCCCTGTCGTTTTGTCTCGTCCTTGGGCAATCACATGATCTTCCTCAATTGTTTGCTCCACCTAGAAGTGGGGAAATCAATACCCAGTGTAGAGGAGATGAGATAAATGTTTGGAAAGGTTCTAAGCAGAAGTCCTGGTATTTAGGAGACACTTCAAATATCGCCATTCTCCATTCTTACAAAAATTCTCCTCTTATTCTTTTGGCTGTTTTTGGAAAGTTGACTTAGCCAGTTTTAGTCTTATCTACAGCTTGTGTTGAGAGTAGACCTGTGTCTGGACAATGAAAGAATGCAGGAAACGACGCAGAGGTGTCCCGAGTCTGTGTCAACTTCCCTGTGCCCTCTCCTGGGGAGCAGGTGGGGGAGCCTGTGAGCCTCCCCGTGCCCTCTCCTGGGGAGC